TCTGTTTTAACTATGGGATCAAATCTACCCATTTGTTTTATTTTATTCATCCCAAGTTGGCTTTTATATTTTAATACCAGATAGCACTGTAAGAAACATAATATTTATTAGTCAATTAAATTTCATTGCCTCCATCATTGCTGGGGGGAAAAAACTATTAGTAAATCCACAAAAAAAATCATTATGCTGTCCCATACCACAAACCGCATGGTGTATAGTATTTAGTAGTTTATTTTTTTAAAATCTTATCTTTAATTAAATGTGTGTGTGTGAGAGAGAGAGAGAGAGAGAGAGAGAGAGAGAGAATAATGCTAAAATAATCTATAGATAATGGTATTGTCCTTATTTGCAGACTGTTTCTGGCAGGAGAGTCAGCACTGAAATGGTTAGCATTGTGAGCATTTAAGTGGTCATAATTAACAGTCTATTAACATCAATGGGGGAAGTTCTCACTTTGGATGACTATTGTTTAATTCTCCCTATTAACAGACTCTACTAAGTGCAGTGTCTGTGTGTGTGTGTGTGTGTGTGTGTTTTAAAAAACTTAGATGGACCTTTCATCTTAACATTAAAACCAAACCTAAACAAATGTAGAAGAACTAGAAATTTTGATAAAAAGAAAGAAGGAAGGGAGAGGAGCGAAATAAGAAAAAGAAATGTGGCAGCATCAGAAGAAGGAGAAAAAGTAGTTGTACCATATAAAATGTGGCATTATTTCAAACTGGACTATTATCTGTCATCAGCTATCATTGGCAGTGGCAGTGCCCATGGAGAAATGAGAGCTTGGGAAAGTTACTTTTTAAAACCACAACTCTCAGAATATGAACATTTCCAAGTTTGGGAGTGGTGTACTTCACTACCTATATGGTCCTCTCTCCCCCATTTTGAAAATGAAATATTGTTTTTGTTTGTTGTTAGCTGCCCTTGAGTCGGTGACTCTTCTCTAGTATCCTCTATTCTTCACTCCTCTTCTCAGGTCCTGCAAACTCAGATCCATGTCCTCACCGCTTAAGTCCATCTATCGGATGGGCAGCCTCCCTCTCTTTCTACTACTTTCTACTACTCTACCTTTCCTAGCATTGTGTATTTTCTAATGAGTCCTGTCTTCTCATGATATGGCTAAAGTTCGACAGTCTCGATTTGATCATCTTGGCTTCCAGGGAGATTTCAGGTTTGGTCTGTTCAAGGACCCATTTTTTGTTTATGGTATTCTCAGCACTCTTCTCTAACACCACATTTCAAATAAGTTCATTTTCTTATCTGCTTTTTTCACTGTCCAGCTCTGACATCCATACATGGTGATGGGGAATACAGTGGCTTGGATGATTCTCACTTTATTGCTCAGTTGTATACCTTTACTTTTAAGGATCTTGTCCAGTTCTTTTATAGTTGTCCTTCCCATTCCTAGATTTTTTCTGATTTCTTGGCTGCAGTCACCATTCTGATCAATGATTCTGAGTATGGGAATTCTTTAACTATTTCAATTTCCTCATTGTCTAGGTTGAATATATGTATTTCTTCTGTGCTCATTATTTTTGTTTTTGTTATGTTCAGCATTAAGCCTACCTTTAGACTTTCTTCCTTGATCTTCCTCAGTAGTTGTTCCAAGTCCGTAATGTTTTCTGCTAGCAATACGGTGTCATCTGCTTATCTAAGACTGTTGATGTTCCTCCTATTTACACGCCTCCTCCTCTCCTGAGTCTAAACCTGCTTTTCTTATGATATTTTCTGTATTCAAGCTGAATAAATAGGGTGATATGATGCAGCCTTGCCTGTTCCCTTTGCTAACTGGGAACTGAATTCTGTTCTAACAGTAGTCTCTTGTCTTCAGTAAAGGTTTCTCATCAGGACTATCAAATGTAGTGGCACTCCCATATCTTTAAGAGTGTTCTATATCTTTTCATGATCTATGCAGTTTGACTGAATTGATCATGAAAAGCTATAGAACACTCTTAAAGACATGGGACTGCCACTACATTTGATAGTCCTGATGAGAAATTTATAAATCACATGCTGATTTTCTTTGGGAATACCTGGACCATGGATTTAACCAGAGATCTGCTAGTTGAAAACCATGCATTCATTCACTAAGGTATGTTTCCTCCTGACAGTAATTCTGAAGGTGAGTGGTGGAGTACTATAGCATGCCAAAAGAGAATTATTAACATCCCATGGACCCAAACTGTGACATTAGCTCTAGCTCCAGATTGGGGGGGGGGGCTACACAAAATGCATTCAGGTGAATTCCCTCCTCTGTCAGGGAGCTTTATCAGGTGGTGGCAGCAGCACTGCAGGCAAGTGCTGTAGTATGTTACTATACTGAGTGCTGAAGGGAAATGAGCAGGGTGGCTGGTGGATGCCATGTCAATGGAGTGGTGAATTTGTTCCAGGCATAGCTCTGAACTAAATGAGCTATCAAAAACATTCAACCTATTTGAGATACAACCTTGGATAGCTTGTATAACATACACATTACAGCCCAGAGCAGTTTCAGCACCCCACTGAAATGGAAGGCAACAGCTACCACTGGAATTAACTTACAAGTAATGTACTTAGCTATAATGAATCATCTTCATTTTGTAATGAAGGTGTAACAAAGGAATTGACTACTTGTGGCTTTTAAACTGCAATTATAGTTGTAAAATATTGCCTTTGGCAATACTTCTCATACAACATTACTTCTGACCTGTTGCTTCTGTATATGCCAAGTGTGGTTAGGGTGTCCTTTTTCATTGATAGGGGAAGCCTATCAATAGCTCCCAATTGCGCAGCAGTCCCAGGGCTCCTCGTGTGCATAACATCACTGCAACAGCAACTGCGATACTGGCAGTCATATATCTTGTCACAGTCCTCTCCTCTCCTCCTATTCCTCCTTCCCCTCGCTATTTCCCAAAAGCCTGATTTGCTTCTTTTTTTAAAAAAAACCTGTTATTTTTTAAAATTTAAATCATATTAGCAGAACTGCAGAATTGCATTTTGAAAAAGTAAAAAATAATTAAATTAAAACAAAATAAAATAAAAGGCATGCTGGGTAGGGCATAGGGCAAGGAGGTGGGGTTAAGGGGGAATCCATCTGCTCCAATAGCAGCAGCAGCCCCAGCTGCACTAATGTGAAGACATGCGATAATGGATGCTCACGAACTGGTGTATTTGTGTTTTCATTCTCAGTTAGGCTAGCCACCTCCTTGCTTTCCTTTTGCTGACAAGCAAAAACATTTTTATTCAAGCAAGCTTTTTAAGAGATAATCACGACAGTGTGGCTTTTGTATGTTTTTATGTTAATTTTGTAATGTTTTAACTAGATTATTTTAGGTATTTTAGAATTTTTATTGTAAATTTTTAAAAATGTGAATCTTGTGAGCTGCATTGGGTCCCTTTCTGGGAGAAAGGCAAGATTAAAAAAAAATCAAACAAATAAATTAGTATGATTGTGATGAGAACTGGGTTCGTGCTATAATGTCCAAGTACTGTCACATAACTTCTTGTTGGTGCTTCCAACGTATGGTGTCCATAAGATGAACCTGTCCCAGGATTTTGTTGGCAATTTTTTTTTCAGAGTGGGTTTGCCTTTGATTTCCTCTGAGGCTGAGAAAATGTGACTTGCCCATGATCATCCAGTGGATTTCCATTGCTGAACAAGGATTCAAACCCTGGTCTCCAGAGTTGTAGTCCAATGCTAACTCCATGACCTATGGGATCTTGGTCTATAATTGTAAGTTATGAAATCTCTTCCCTTAGAGGCCTGGTCTCATTTGAGTACCAATAAAACCATGATTTTTTACTGAAGTCTTTGGGACCTTATAGATTGCATCCAAATTTGCATATAGTTTTTAAAATTGTTTTAATCTATTTTAACTGGCTTTAAACTCTCTTGTTTTAAATTTGTCAAGTTGTTTGGTATGATTTTAGTCTGTTTAAATCATTTCTATTATCTGAAATTATTTTAAGTTTGTTTAAGTAATTTTACTTTGTGCTTTCCTGAGATCCCATGACAGAGGAAAGAATATAAATATTTTATTGAATAAATCAATTAAAATAATAACAAAAAACACTGAGATGTGAGACAGGAATTAATTGCTTTTTAAAAATATCTTTATAAGCTCTGGTCCAGGGTACTGCTTGTTAAAGCAGTGACAAATGCTGCTTTAACAAGGGCAAAATATTCTGCCTCTCCCTGCTCTCACCCAAAGATAACATTAAACCAAAAAGAAGCAGCAATGTACAAGTGGTCTGCAGTGTGGTCTGCAGAACAGCCATGTTCATATGCATATTGGCTTAAATTTTTCCTTCTCAGGGCCATTATTTATTGAAAAACGGGTAGTCTCTACTGTTCTAGAGACACAAGGATGAATCTGTATGCACTATCCAGCACCTTGTTGGGCATCCCAGTTAGGTGCTGGGTGGAAGGAAATTACGACAGCTGTACTGTGAAAATAATGTAATGGATAGACATCTTATTTACCGTTATAGACCAGTATAAAAATAACTTAAAACACAAGCTTGTATGCCGAATATTAAAAGTTTCAAATAGACATTATTTGTTTTGCAGGGCCCAAAATTATTGTTGTTTGAATTTCCACTCAAAGCACTACTCAACATAAAATAAAGGTAGCAACATTAATTTAAACCTGGAATAAAATACAGCAAGCTAGAGTAATACAATATAATTGCCATTTCATCAAAGCATGCAGTAAAATGCCAAATGTGAACTTGTGCACTCTCTTCCCATCAAGAGACAGGCACCACATGGAAAGAAGCCCCAAACAATCTCGGCTTCAGTCATAACCTCAAAGAAGCTCAGATACTGCTGTCCTCTAGATCCAGTTGTACTGCCCAGCTTTGTAGAGGGCATAGGTTCTCAGTGGGTGGTGTGTCATCAGAGCAAAGGTCATGCCCTCTAACTAACCTGGCCAGCAGTCAAGGGAGCTCCCTAGGAAGGCAAACAGAATGTTAGGGATAATTAGGAAAAGGACTGAAACAACAAGTGAAAAAGGTGGAGAGCCAGTGTGGCATAATGGATCGGGTGTTAGATTAGGACTCTGGAAATCAGGGTTCAAATCCTCACTTGGTCATGGATACCCACTGGGTGGCCTGGGTGAGTCACACTGTCTCAGCTTCAGAGGACAGCAAGGGCAACCCTGCTCTGAACAAATCTTGCCAAGAAAATGCCACAAAAGCCTTAGGATTGCCATAAGTCAGAAATGACTTGAAGACACACAATAACTGACTTGCAGGCACACAGCAATAGAAAATCAGTTGTGCATATATGTTTTTTGCGCTGTTAATGTCGTTCTGAACAATTAGCCAGTGCTTATTCAGCAAACTCATGCTCTTACTAAAGATGGTATTGCCCATCCTTGATGGTTTATGCTCCTCTTCCGTGAACCTTTCCAGTCAGCATATGTTTCATGCAGACAGCCAACTATGACCTCGACCCAGGTACCATAGATCACCTGGATCTTTCTGGCAAGATTAGCACCTTGTGAAATTAGTCACAATGTAGGCAAAGTTCTTATCATGTCTCCTCAGCTAATGCTGCTTACTGACAGTCTCATGAAAGCTGTAGTTCAACAGAAAGATGATTTTTTTTACTCCCCCAAACTCCCAAAGACACCCTCAAAGCTCCGAGAACATTTTCCAAAATAATGTGGAAGAAAAATATCCAAAATTACCTAGACAAAATCATGCCAGTTGAGGCAATTTGTCTCCCATTATCCAAAACCCACAAACTTTGAGAAAAAGCTAAATAGGAGAGGCCACTTAGGGGGCAGAAAGATGAAACCTGAAGTGACAAAAGTGCCCTCTGCTCCCAGCACAATTGTTGTAACATTAAAATTGGCTTGACTACAGGGATAGCTCTGGGCCTTATCACACGGGGTCTAAAGCAGTCCCATCCCTGCGCCATCCCTGCGCCATCGCGGATCCTTGTCCCGTGTTTCCACACGACGTCGCAGAGAAACCCCATCTATCCCTGCGCCATTCCGGCATCACCCGGCGTCATCCCCGTTCTTTTGAATGCCGGGTTCTTTTGGGAATTAAATTTGCTGATGCCGGAATGATGCTGCTTTCTATACCTCAAGGGAAAAGGAACCGCGGTGGCGCAGGGATGGTGCCGGGATGGGACTGCTTTAGACCCCCGTGTGATAACGTCCTCTGTCTTGGTGCACAGGGGCGTGAGAATGGTGACAGCCTCCTTAGCTGTTCCTCTTGAGTCCTCTTGCCTATTTCCAGGCATGGTAGCATCCAGGAGTATGGTCTAGGCCCGTAATGGTGAATCTATGGCATGCGTGCCAGACATGGCATGGGAAGCCATTTTCCCCGCCATAAAGTGGTGAGGAGGAAGAAGAGGCAGCTGGAGGCAGCTGGAAGCTGTGAACAGCACATGGGGAGGAGGAGGAAGAGGTGTGCGCCTGTTCCTCTTCTTTCCCCCCCCTTGCTCCCCCCAGGCCCTTAGCGGTCTCTGGACAAGCAGCTGAAAGCCTGGGAGGGTGAGGGGGAAGAGGTCCTGCCCTGAAAATCCTGTCCCCAAATGGTGGAAGTCTCACCCTCGAAGGGCATATGTCTTGCCCCCGGCACCAGGTAACAACCAGTGCTGAAAGACCTTTTAGTCAGGACACTCAGCCCCTAAAAGGTTCACCATCACTGGTCTAGGCAGTCCAAAGAACAAGTTGTGAGAATGCAACTATTGACACGTAATGTTAGTCCTCTCCTTTCCCCTTCCCCCTCTCCCATGCTATTTGAACGCAACATGTTTTCTTTTCTTTTTTCTGCTGTTTTCTCCTGCTCCTGCTCCTGCTCCTCTTCTAAATTGCATTCCCATAACTCCAGAATTGCATTACAAATAGGAATTTAAAAAGGCATGCTGAGCAGGGCATAGGGCAGGGAGGCAGGATTAAGGGGAAGAGAGAGCGCCAGGACCATCGGTGGCACAAAAAGCCCCCATTGCACTATTGAACCAAGGTGAGGTAATAAAAGCTCCAAAAATGTTTTTGTTCTCTTTTGATAACATGATTGTGGTAAGACTGAGGCTTGTGTGATAAAGTTCCAAGTGTTCAGATATAACTCTGGTTACTGACCTAAAGACAATGGGAACTTTCCCATGCCAGTATGGAGTGACATTATGGATGATTCCAGCTAGTCAGACAAGCATGAGATCTTCCAAGATACCCAATTTCATTCCACCTTCACCTTGGCTATGTTCTTTTCACCTTATCTATCCTTCAGCATTCTGTAGCCACTGAGTATACTCAGTCCTCATTGTGCTCTTTGGAGTTATTTTTTCTTCCCTAAGTCCCATGCTGTCATAGGGTGGTTGCAGACTGCCAGAAATAGTGCAAATTGAGTCCACTTTTAGGGTTAGGGTTAGGGCTAGGGAATCATGGGAACTGTATTTTATTGTGGCACCAGAGCTCTCTGACAGAGAAGGCTCAATGTCTCAGGAAAAAAACAATTCCCATGATTCCCTAGCACTAACCCTAACCCTAAAAGTGGACTCAATTTGCACTATTTCTGGCAGTCTGCAACCCCCCTTAGTTTGGGGATAGATGAGTATTTCTATAAACCCTGAGGTTCCCCTATACAAAGGATACGTCCATCTTGTGAGCAATTTCACATTTGAATAATGATTTTGGTATTAATTTGTAGAAATCTGGCCTATCTCAGGTAACAAATAAAAGGCAGAAAGTTTGTATGCAGGAGACAATTGTTGAGAGTGCTTCTCTATGGACCTTATCACA